AACTGTTAAGGTAAACTTGAGTGAAGAAGCGATGAAATATAGCAGGCGGGAAGACGACGAGCAGAAGCAATTGCTAACAAGACCTTCAAATTTTTTGGTGATCTGTACAAGCACTTCAGACTGATTGCAGATAAAATGCTGACCATCTCTTCTATGAGTGTATTAACACTTGAGGAATACAACTTTGGATTTATATTGGTAACACCTAATAGCCATGCCACCAGTAAAACTTGCATCGTCATGCAATTTTCGTTTACTTCACATCTGCTTAAAAAGTTGCACTAAAAAATTATTCTGTAATAATACAACTAATTAGGCAATTATTTTTTTTATAATCGTTTTAAAGCAGAATTTTAAATTATATATATATATATATATATATATATATATATATACATAGTTGAGGAGCATATTTTGAGGCTAAAATATGCTTTAAGAATGCTTACGCCTTAGCGCGAAGGCACACTCCTCCAAGGCTTAACGCCCCCCCAACAGCAGTTACAGCAGTTCCAACAACACCAAAAGCTGCAATCCCGACAACTGCAGGTAGCGCAAGCAGTGCCATAATTATACAGCTGTGGCTACGGTTCCTACCGCTAAGAAAATCCTGCTGTATAGCCGGAAAACATTTACTTTTTTGACATCCTTTTTCACTTTCTGGTAAACGGCCTGGAATCACCGAATAGCATATAGATGAGCAAATCCAGCTTAGAAAGTGCGTACATGCTATAACAAGGTCAGGTAGATAATTTTCATTAAAATTAGCTTCCAGAACTAAAGTGTTTCAACCAATAAGGGAAAAATCTGCTTGACTTTTCCATCTTGTACAGCTTTAAATAGGTTGCAAAAAAGTGGTCAAGAAAACCTCGACATAATGTTCTACGCACTGCAGCCACTTCTTTGGAGATCCTTTGGCAATTTCCTTGATTGAATATTTTACCTTCTTTAATGTTTCTGTTTTCAAAGTAGAGTGTTTTTCATTCAAAGCATCAGCAGTGAGTCTCTCGCAATTAGAATTTTTGAACTAAAATAAATTATAAAACGCTAAGAAGTCTAATTGCCTAAAAGCGGTCAGTTAAATGACGTTTAGGTAAGCACCGAGGTGTGACATCAAAACAATTTTAAACACAAAAGTGGTCCTTTTCTTTTTACTATTAAGAAAATTCAACACTTTCAAACAAAAGATAAACCTCCTCCGGCTGTTTTTTATAAAAATTCTCGACTTTGTCAAGTATTTCAAGAATCTTGTTAAATTTTTCCTCATTTCCGGTAACAGTTTTGCTCATTTCAGTGTACTTTTTCTGCAGTAGAATACAACTGAGTAACAAAAGACTTATAAATTCTGCTTTATATGACGGCTGCAGCGTTAAACAGATTCTTGTAAACTTCTTTTAAGTTGGAAGGTACTTTTGACTTTACTTGTAATTCGGTCTTCAATTACACGGTAACTGATAGTCTCATTAAAAAATAAGTAAAAGAAACCTCAACCAACTCGTCAAAAGCTTTAATCCAATCTTTGGTAGACCCTTTGACTATTGAATGAATTCGCAATGTCAACGTATCCTTTCCTGTAGTTTTTTCCCTATCATGAAGAGCCCTTAATTCTATTGTGGTACTACTTGCATCGCCTTTGGCACACTGAAATGTTTGGTAGTGAAGTATATTGCTCGCTGCTAATATATTACATCAAATTCTGGGAAGATAACAAAAAATTACCAGATCGTATAACTCTTCTAATTCAGCAGCAGCAGTGTTCATTCCCCGTTTATGTAAATTTTGAAAAATAAAATAGAACAGAAAGCGAATTGTCTGTGATACAGCAAACTTTTGAAGAATTTCATAACGATAAAAAAGTAAAGTTAGGGGCATTGTGTATATGCCAAATAAACGCTGTTGGAAAAGGTAAATTTTCTACATTCAGAGAATGAAAACAATAGAGACACTTCTTCCATTTCTTTTGTGTAGCAATCAGTGCATTCGTCAACCTCTTTTACAATCTTTTGCAAATTCTCAAAGTTCAAGCGTAAATCATGCTCCACTGTTTTTTGCTTGGCCTGCAAGCTTACTCTGTATCTAGAAATAGTGTAGGTACAACAAATACCGTATTCGGTGACTTTCAAAATTCTTCTCAAAAGCAAAACAGTTCAAATCAGAACTTTCTTTTTAGGAATTTAATTAAACTTTCATCCGTCAAAAACTGCTAGTGAAAACTCAAAAAAACAGGACATCGCAGAAGTCTTCCAACCGTTCTCGAGAGAACCGCTGATTTTCCCCTCCATCACTTTTCTTGGCATCTTCAAGTTTTTCTAACGCTTCGCGTTTTGCAGTATCATGTACTTCTTTCAGTTTAGCGAGAATGCTCTTCAAATCGATACCTTTTGTGTACTGCAATAAAGACATCGAAACGAAAAAATGACTGAATCAGCTACTTTTATTCTTATTATTGTCAATAAGATCAAATTTGAAAAAGCAATTTGAAACTAACCAAGGTATGCAGTTCTTTCAAGTTTGCTTCACCGCGTTCTGCACCATTCCTTTTCAGATACTGAAGTCAATTATTAGTTAGTAGAACTACTTTGGCTTTTGACGTATTTTATATAAACTGTAATTTTACACAGAAACAAATGAAAATTTTAGCTTAAAATTTTCAATTAAGTTTGAATTATATAACAGCTGCCGCACACAGCTATTTATTTTAAAAAATGATTTGAGCTACAATGCAGGCAACAACCTCCTTTACTTTGCTGTCGTAAATTTTTTTGCAACGAGACCAAAAAACTTGTTCCAACCTCACTTCTTCAATTACCTTCAAAAATTATATTATTGTACCAAAGATTTTACAGTTTAAAAAAATATAATGAACTATTTAAACTAAAAAGTAGAAAACTATTAGTTTATTACCAGGAAAAAGACTTTTGGCGAAAAAATACCGGTATCTTCGCACAGTTTCGCGCATTTCTAAATTTGTAAATCATAGTTAAAAATTATTTCCAAATTATTTGTGAAATAAATATCTGGATACCGAACACGTATGTTTCAAAGTATTCACAAGAAAAACACACATGGAAGAATTCAAACAGCTCCTCAAAAGTTATTTCATACCCAGCTACCATTTTTACTGATAAGTGATCTGTCGACAAAAGCTGCCTTGCGAGTGACTTCAACTGATCCAAGAACACTTCTCTAATTCCTTAGAAAAAAAAAGAACAAAAAAAATTATTTTTTTTTCACAATTATTTAGAATGCGAAATTAGTACTTATACAACGATATGGTTCTTCAGCTTCAGCAACTTCAAGTCCGGGATGCGGCATCAGAAAGCAGGAGGTTGTTAGAAAACAGCTATCAATTTTTTTGCATAACCTACGAATTTCCTCTGACCCGTTCTATAAAATATTCTTGCAGTAAGTGCTTTGAATAATCAGATAATCTTAACCTCTTTTTTAAGAAAGTGTTGAACTGTCAGAAAGTAGTAAAAAACAGAATAAGTTAGTGAGAAAGACGTTTTATAATTTAATTTACGTCAATCGACTGATACTTTTTTTTTGGATTTGAAGAAGGAAGTGGTCACCTCAGTATATCTACAGAAATATTGTTTTCCACCATCAAATCCAAAACGGTATTCTTGCGAAGAGGTCCAGTCACGAACGACATATAAAAGAGTCTAAAACTCATACGCTCTTGTGAACTAATTTTTAATGGGTGAGCCTCTGGGGGCACAAAAGAAGTATCAACTGCAAACAACCTGGAATGGTTTTGCTTTTTTGTTGCACTCAGCATAAGAACCGTAAGAAGCAATCATTTCCACCCGCTTGAGATCGTCTAACTGCAGCTGCCCGACTGTGCTATAAATCTAAGCAAAAACGCAATTAAAAAGCTGGTATGGTGCGATACTTCTTGGGGACAACAGTGGGTACAGACTATTATAATGAAATCTCACTTGCAATGTTTTCAACAATCCATTTTTGATGATTTAAAATATCACGATTTGACGCTTTGCGCGTTCTGTCCACTTCTGTTTTTCTTAATTTTTTGAAGTGTTTTTTTCTCAAGTACAGGTGGTTCCTTAATTCCCGTATTACTTCAGCTGTTAAATTTCAAACGCTTTTTCTTTATCTGATGCTGCTTCGTTGGAAAGAATTAACGATTGTTAAACTGGCTTGATCTGTTGATATGTATTTCTATCAGTAAATAAAATACTTTACTCAGTAATATTTTCTGCATTATTTTACCTACCGAATTTCTCAAATTATTGTAGCTTTAATTCTACCTTCTCCTGAAGCCATATCTGATTTTAATAGATAATTTGCCAGTTGCCTTTTCAAACAGGTACTACCAAATTTTATTACAAGATATGGACTGATTTGTGCAACAAAATAGATGTAATTGAGCAAAAATTTAAAAACTGTGTATAATCTGATGGAATTTGGACTCTTCAATTTTTTTCAGAAAGTGCGTGACGATGGTTGTCATAAGATACAGTTGCTGTGTAACGTACATGTGAATAGCTTTTGATGAGGTTCTATTTGCGTACATCTTTTCATTAAATAACAAAGATCTTCAGTTAGAAAGGGTTACCTGAATAGAAGACAGAATGTTTGAAAATGTAAAAATTGTCTTGGCGTCTTCTACGCTTGTC